CTGCAGCTTGGAGAATCGACATAAGGATGCCAATGGTAGTATGCCAAGAAGGTCCAGTAGCAGTGATAGGAGTATTCTAATTTTCCTATTGCTTCTTCTTTGCTATAGACCTATCCTTCCTTTGTAGCTTCCTTTTTTCAAAACTGCTGTTTCCAGCATTCCCATCTTGCTTGTGAGTTGTCCAGTATCCTTTTCTTTTTTTCTCCCCCCAAACCCCACCCCTGCCGAAACTAGGGATTGGACCCAGTGTAGCTTTACCAATGAGCTATATCTCCAGCCCTTCTTCTAAATTTTATTTTGAGAAGGGTCTCACTAAACTGCCCAAACTGGCCTGGAAATCGTAATTCTCCTGTCTCAGACTCCCTATAACTCAAATGACAGGTGTGTGTCACTGTACCAGGCTTCAATATCCTTTTGTTAGGAAATAGGCTAAAAGAGCCAAAATAAATTGCTAAAATAAGTTAAAAATTCATGACCCTCTCTTGACACATTCTAGAGGTGAATGGGCTAGTGTCACTGGTTACTACAGTGGTTGCCATTTACCAGTCAAAAAAAAGAACTGGACAACCTAATAGTTGTATACAGCATTCCCACCCAGAGCCTTGAAAACAAAGCCACACTAACTACAAGGTAGGATGAGAACTGTGTCATGAGGCTTTAAGGCCAAGGGATAAACTAAAAGTCAGTGGATCTTATTTCCAAAAGAAACAAAGGCCTCGTACAGTAGCACATGCCTATAACCCCAACAGCCCAGGAGTCTGAGACAGGAGGATCACAAATTCAAAGACAGCCTCATCAAATTAGTGAGGCCCTAAGCAACTCAGTGAGATTCCATTTCAAAATAAAATAAGAAGTGTTGGGCATGTGGCTCAGTGGTTAAGTGTGTGTGGGTTCCATTACCAGACCAAAAAAAAGGTGGGGGAGAGCAGGATGAATATTGGAAAATAGTATTCTCTCTCCAATAGCTGACTTTTCTAATTCAATAAGCAAGAACTACTTCTGTTGTTTTCAACCAAAGACTCCCAGGGATTCAGAAACACACATGAGAGAGAAACCTGAAGCCACCATGATTAAAGGAGTTGGTGGGGGAAACATCACATTTTGGAGTCCACTTTGAAAATCACCGTACTATTATACTCTCTATATATGAACATAAATTCAATTTGTTGTATTTTTTATATTGATATCTTTTTTAAAATTTCTCATCTATTTCCATGTTTCAAAGTCATCTTAAGAGAGCAATTCTTTTCAAAGTTGACTTTTTCCCTATGTGACTTAACTAAGATTTAAATAAATTTTATTAAGTGAAAAATGTCAGAGAAACCACAATGTCCTTCATTCAGTAGGTGAATGGATAAACTGTGATATATCCATATAATGGGATATTATTCAGTGCTAAAAAGAAATTAGCTATTAAGCCATAAAAACACATTCTGGAAACTTAAATCCATATTACTATGTGAAAGACGTTAGACAGAAAAAGTTACATACTAAGTGATTCCAATTTAAGTCACATGCCCCATAGTAACCATGTTTCAGTCAACAACAAACGACATATACAACTATGTTTATATCACCTAGTGACACCATACAAGTACACTATTAGGATGTTCACTCAAAAACTGCCTAACATATCTTTTCTCAGAATGCATTCCCATTATTACACAACATATGACTTTACATGACATCTAGGAAAGGGGAAACTATGGCGAGACAGGAAAAAAGATCAGTGGTTGCCATGGACTGAGGAGGGAATGATGACAAAGCAAGCACAGGGGATTTAAAAATGGATTCATGTCACAATACATTTATCTAAAAGAAAATGTACAACACCAAGAATGAATATAAACTAGGACTCTGGATGACAGTGATTTTTTTAGTGTAGATTTATCAATTCTAACATCTGTACAGCTCTAGTAGGAGATATTGACAATGAGGGAGGCTCTGCATGTGTGGGACAGAGATTTCTGCACCTTCTGCTCAACTTTTCTATGAACCTAAAACTGCTATCAAAAATGAAGTCTATTTAGGGCTGGGCTGTAGCTCAGTAGCAGAGCACTTGCCACCTATGTGTGAGGCACTGGGTTCAATCCTCAGCACCACATAAAAATAAACAAATATAATAATGGCATGCTGTCCACGTACAACTACAAAAAATTTTTTTTAATGAAGTCTATTTAAAAAGCCATAGAAGTAGACAATGTCATACAGGTGTCTCTTCTGTTATCAATATATTACACATGTAAATATCATTATCTTTGAGAAAAATAAATTATGACAAATTTAAACATTACACAATATAAACTGGTGTACTTTTCAAAATGCTACACTTAGTATTTTTTACATTCTTTACAATTACAATATTTCTTGTCTGTTTGGGTTTGTTTTAAGTATTTTTATAGAAGAAGGGTGACACTTGGCTTTACTTGTGTCACCTATCTTTAAACTCCTATGTAATTTAGTAAAATGCATCAAACAGTAAAAATATGAAAGCAGATGATTAAGAAAGAATTCAATGAAAAAGTTAAGGCTGAGGGATAGAGTGATGGCTGAGCAAAAGTAGTAGAGATATTGTACAGAAAACAAGGAAACACAAAACCCAGGCAGGACAAACATGAGGCTTGTCCTCTGTGTTCTCTTAATAAGATCCCAGTTTCTGGGTGGTAACGTACATTTTTAAAATGAACAGAGAGCCAAAGAGAGAGTCAAAAAGAATAAGTAAAGTCAAACAATATTAGAGGACAAAATATAATACAGGCAACAAAAATCTGTTATTCTAACCCAGAGAATCTAGTTCCAAATAACACATTCTATAAAACTGCCAGTTTTTGAATCTCATAAAGACTACCTATGCAGCCCTCACTTTAAAATGTCTAGTTCTTTGATTATTCCCTATTTGTCCTAGAAGCAAATATTTCTTTCCTTTTTACTTCACTGACTTCTCCTTAGTCTATGTATCGGAAATAAAAACATCATTTTCCCTCTAATGATTTTGTTCATAATTACACCAACTTTTAATTCTACTTTTTTAAATGCAGAATCAAGACTGGGTTTGAGACTTTGTCAAAGAAAACTATCTGCACATTGTGTTAACAACAGCCTTCCACCTGGCCCTCTACCCTCAAAATATTCACTTTCAAAGATCAAACCCTTAATTAATAAATAAGAATATAAATAAGAATATAAAATTTGTGTGACTTCTACATAATACTTTATAATTTATAAATTACTGTCACATTATTCTTATTTCAAATGTGTGTACACAAACACACATACATATACATTTCTTAGGCTGTTCATGATATAACTTTTCTTTAAAGTAAACATGGCAGTATTATAAGTATTTGCTTCCCCATTTCTATTTGCTTACTGACATATCAGATTCAGGAAATTATATGATTTAGGGCATTTATACTGGTGAGAATAATAGAATGTGAAAAAAACAATAAACAAAAACTGGGAAAATGAAAGGTAATATTTTGAACCAGGTACATATTACAAAACCCTGAGAAAATAAAGCATTTCAAAGATGGCCTAATAGAAGAACAGAAAATGGACAGAGATGTTCATAAAGAATTTCATACAACATATTATTCTTTTGCTTTCAAGACTAGCAATTAAAGACCAGTTTGCAAACATTATGTGTATGAGTTATTTTTCTATTTATTTCTCAGGCTTTAATTTAAATTTATCTCAATGTACTATTTTGCATATAGAAAAAGAAGTAATCTGGGTTTCAGATTGAAGTTTTTAAAGAAACAATATCTCCAGGAACTAGAAAAAGGAAGGAGAAAAGTCAGAAATGAGTAAAATAGCCAGTAAAATATATACCCCTTTAATCAAAGAACTCTTATAAATTTGTAACAATCTATCATAATCACACTATATATTCAAATTCAATTTAATAAGAAATCACTTAATATTTTGTAGTTGTCATATCTAACATTCTAAAATGTGATAACATGGGTTTAAGATACGAATAACTTATACAAAGCCTAAATAATTTACAAAACCTAAATAATTCCACTAAGAAAATACTCAGCATACTCTGTAACACTTTTTATAAATAGTCATCTCAAGAATGATGAATACAACTACATGAGGAGAACCTTCTCTTTGGTTTTTACTTAGAAATGTCTAACAGAAACTAAAGCTACTATTGCTGCATGGTGTTATAAGAACACACCATCATACTTTTGTAATTAGTGAGTTATGCAATTAGTGAGTCAAACTCTATTGACAAAATTAATACATTAACACAGGGAAGCCTTTCAATATGTGAACAAAAATATAATTAGCAAAAGGTAGGCTCTGGGTGGGCAAGTGCATAGATGACTAAACCTATTCCTTAGTTTAACTCCCCAATGAAAAAAAATTATGACTTTATACCCAGATGCTGAAGTAAATAAAAACTCCCCAGCATAGTCTAAAATTAATCTGTAATGATATATATTTATAAAAATTGTTAAGTATTGTTTCCCAGGAATCTTTCTTTTATAATAGGCAGCCAAATACTTAAATCTTTTAAATACCTTTTGAAATATTCTCATGTTCTTTTTAAAATAGCCACAAGGGGTCAGTGTTCCCTAAGAAATGAGTAATATAATGCAGTACCTTGTGAGATAACCATTTATTTTTGCAACACAATACTTAAGTTACCCATTATAAAGTAAATTTGAATGTACCCTATGTTGAATATAGTGAAGTCTTCAACTCTTTAGCGATTCAACAAAAATTACATTAGATCATGGTGATCACACACCTACAACTTAAAATTTTTCATTTATAACTTCATTTAATCCTCAAAATAGCAAGTAGACAAAATCTTTACCATTTCTATTTGTGAGGATGCAAATTATTAAGAAGTTAATTGTTATCCTGAACATTCTAAAAATAAAAACAAATACATGTGATTTGGGTATGCAAACTTCAATAAAATGAAAATAGAATTTGTATAACTAAATACATGTTTCAGAAGCTATTACACCACACAGGCTTACCTTGCCAACTATCATTACAGACACACAGTTTTTCTCCTGTCAAGTCACAGTACCCATGATCTGGACTGCCACAGTTGGCTTTACAGTAAGGAATGTCACAAGCTTCACCCTTCCAGTACTTATCACATTCACAATACACTTGACTGGGAACGGAAACACTGGTTGTACACTTTCCATGGCCAGAGCAATTGTTAGGACAAGAATTGATTCTGTAAAATATAATTCATATATACTTAAATTCAAGATAATTAAAAAAAGAATTTTGGTTGATATTTTATAAACTTTCTAGTTTTTATATTAAGTCTTATTTGCTTATTAATTTAATACAGTTTCACAATGTAACTTCAGCCCATTAGTCTTTAAGCTTTAACTCTCATGCATTTATTTGCAATTAGTCTTAGTTTGTTCAGTAAGTTTACTTTGCTACCAAAACTCCAAACATCTAAGGACTACACACTCAACATCTACAGAATCTGTATGGTTCCAAGAACAATTTTTTGTAAATGCTTAAGTACTTTTAATAAATATTTTATAGAAAAAATTTAAATTCCATGCATACCTGAAAGTCTATAAGAAGCCAAGACATAACTTGGTTATATAATAGTTAAAGCACATGCTACTACCCATACACTCTTAAGAAAAAAAGGGTGTTTACCAAATTTCATTTTAAAGTTTTTAAACTAATTATATTCTATTATTTATTTTATAATATATATATTATATAATATATATTATACTATAAACTAATTATATTCTATTATTTATTCTCCTTTGCATACATTTTTGTATATATTACATAATAAAGAAATCCTTTAATAAATAGATAGTTCAGGGATATTTTGAATATTTTATTCCTGGCTTAATAAAAAAACCCTAGTTATCAATTTCTACCTTTACGAAGAAAAGAAGAAAATTAAGGTGTAGAATTTCTCTGTGGCCATTCCTATGAAAGCATCGCTGGCTACTTTACTTCACCTTGGGATTTCTAGATGTAAGTGCCAGACACATAATAAATTCTCATAAGTATTGTTTTTTGGATTTTTAGAGGGAGACAGTAGTATAGCCACATATTTTTATCTCCTAAGCTGATTCAGTGTTCTTACATGTGACATAGGAAAAAATACCAACTTGAAAGAACTGATTAAAAAGAAATTAAATGTATTATGTCATTTAGGACAGTCTCTGGTCTAGAGAAGGACTACCAAAACTTAGCTTCACACCCCTCTTCAAACTACAAATAAAATACATTAGAAATACAGAAAGGCAGCTCTGCACTCCCTGTATGCTCATGTATCTGTTGCTACCAATAAAGCTACACTGGATTTTAGGCATCTGCCAACAATTTTAAATTTTGTAATTAATATTCAACCAAACTTAACTTGCCACCATAACATCCTCAGACTTAGATATTATCCCAACATGGGCTTAGATAGCATTTGGTAGTACATGGTTACGATTTCATCACTTAAGAAAGGATCCTACATATAATTTGAGTAACACACTAACCTGCTCCTGACACATAACACATATTACAAAGATAAGTTTTGTAAAAAAAAACTTACGAATAAAAAATGTTGAAACCAGTTAGGTTATATGCAGCATCACTAAAGAAGTGTAACAGTGCATAGCCAGATGTTGTAACAACTTCAGGCACAGTTTCATTTCCCCTTACTTCAGGAACTATCAAGCCACTAAAAAGAGAACAAAATTAAATATTTTATCTATACATTGTATATAGATGACTATTATGTAAAAATTAATTATGTAAAAATTAACTCAAAAACATTCTTATTACAATCATTAAGCAGCTATATTACAACTAATAATTCTAAAGTAAATAAATAAAAAATGAGTCATATCCATTTCTACCCAGTTAGCTCTTCTCCTGCTGCAATACACAATTACTCTCATACCACCTCACTCTTTTTCTTATCACCATAGGACTACATGTTCCATTTCTCCCTTGATTGTGCTATCCATCCTGCCACAATACCAGTGTGGTCTTCTACTTAATCATATATATTTTCATTCAGAGCTATCTTGCTACTCTACCAAGTGATCCCATTGGTTGCAAAGTCCAGTAAAGCTAGAAGAAATGCTCTACATTAACTGATTACAATAAAATTCTATTTCACACTGGATGCAAAGACACATACCTGCCATCCCAGAAGAAGGATGGCAAGTTCAAAGCCAGCATCAGCAATTTCACAAGGCCCTGTCTCAAAATTTAAAAAAGAAAAAAATTTAAAAAGGGCTGAGGATGAAGTTCATTGGTAAAAGCACCCCTAGGTTCAATCCCCAGTACCAAAAAATAAAATAAAATTCTAGTCCTCTAGTATACTTCCAATACACTCATCTCGGTATTTCAGGTAATTTTAAAATACATGCTTTCTATGCTCTTTAAAATTCTGTATATTTATGCAAACTGTATTATTAATATATAACTATTTCAAAACAAAATATTGTTCTTTGAGGCCTATATGCGCACATAAGAAAACTAATCTGGGGGTAGAGGAATAGAAATGTGTAAGAAGTAGCATTTCAAGTAACTGGCACTTATCTTTAACCTATTTATTCATGGGGAAAAATTATATATCTTCACTTTCTTATACCATACTACCCTCTTTAATTTGTAAAAACATGCAATGAGGAAGAGAATAAGCTGCTAAAAACAACTACATAAATCAAAATAACAAATTCCTTTAAACCAAATTAAATTTGTTTAGGCACGATTACAAACTGAATTCCCTTGAATCATATTTTACACATATTAAATATTAGTCAAATAATTTATTTTTCAAACACAAACTAAAAAGTAATCAACTCTTGATTTAATGCTTTAGTAATTATTATTACAAAAACTAGGTTATAATTATATGACATCGACTATAATTATTGTATATATGATTAAGTCATATAAAAACCTTCACTTGGTTCTACCTTGCTACTTCAACAAGTAATCGTATAGCTTTACCTTTTACCACTGGTTGCAAATTCTAGTAAAGCTAGCAGGAATGCTCCACACCTACAAGGAAACTAAGATTTTTTAAGAGAGACTGTCAACAGAATTCAAATTCTGTAATATCAATCTTAGCTACACATATAGTGATAAAGAACTAAAGCCTAAAATTACATAACATGGACTCATATTCTGACTCTATATCACTTATCAGATAGGCAACTTGGCCACTTATAGCACCTTTCTGTGCTTCAATTTTCCATTTGTAAAATGGCAGTGATAATACCTAAAGGATAATAACTTGTCCTTTAGGTATTATGTTTGTTATAAATAATTTGTTCATTGCCTGGCACTAAATGAATACTAACTAGATGGCCAACTGCTATTTACTGGTTTATGTGGGTCCTTGCGTATCCCTTCATGTTTTATGATCAAGTTTTCAAAACTACTTACTATTGTCCTAAAATATAAATTCTTTAATGTGTCTACATCTTTTTACGTGTTTTTCTCTACCTAGAATATACTATCTGGCCCCATACCACGTTTCTACTCATAAAATTCACCATGAAGGACTGGTTACTTTTTCTGAAATTATATAGTCCTCTTTTATAACCTGATTAAAATACACTTTTTCACACACTATTATGTGTGAAAAATCTGGTTTCATGCCCCACCCCCACCCCCTTGTGCATGACTAGTGCATACCAAGGAATTTGGCTGGTTTTTGTTCTCAGTTCTTGGAATGCAGCCTTTAAGTCCTTGGAATTTCCAAAGTGATAAGAGTGTCTTTGTTACTCATGGTAGGCCCTGGAAGTTTTTGCCAGTGAGGTGACTTATGATGGGCCTCTAGAGTTAAGAGACAATTTAGGATGGGGGATAGCTGCACCAACAAGATAAGCCACTGAGTAAAGGGTTGGGCCATATATGGCATCAGCCTAACTTCTAAAGAGAAGAGGGAGGCTAAAGCCATAGAGTTCAACCTCACGGCCAAAGATTCAATCAATCATGCCAATATAATGAAACACCAATAAAAACTCTGAACAACTAAAACTCAGGTGAACTTCCTTATAATACACATTGACTAGTTGGATGTGTGACATATCCCAAGAACACAAAGCTTTGTATCTGTAATCGTTCCCAACCTCATTTTCTTCAAATGCCTCTCTTTATTTGGCTGGCTCTGATTTCTATCCTTACAATAAATCTATAGTCAGAAGTTTGGCACTTTCCTGAATTCTAAGAGTCATTCTAGTCATTATCATCCCCAAACTCAAAGCGAGATGGTTATAAGTGAGGGTGGGGACCTCCAAGCTTACAACTATAGTCAAAAGTGAAAATAGTCTTGTAGAGGTGAGTGGCCTTAATCTAGGAAGTTTGGCCCAACTCCAGGTGGCTGGTTTTTAAACTCACTGCAATGACTTGGGCCTTACTCCTTACTATACTATACCCACCACCCCCACCCAGGCTTAAGAAAGTCTCTGGAACCGAACAGGTTAGTAAATGCGTATTGAGTAATAGTACCTACACAACTGGTACAATTCAAACACATTTCCAATTAGATTCTGATTCTTAGCAAAATGAAGTACAAACAGTAAAAATCCTAACTGGCTCTATTACCTATTAGAAGTTAACAATTTCTGATTCTTAATTCTTCAATTATGAAATGGGGATACTTTGTGAGAATGGGAGATTTTTGTGAAAATTCAATGGCATTTAAACTATTCAGAACAGTGCTTAACATCAAATGGATATTTAATAAACACAAGTTCCCACCTCCCTCAAGACAGGGTAACTAGAACACTTCCCAAAGAAGTCATCAGTTCCATGTTCACAGCCATATACTAACCCCATCATGCTATTAAGTTTGGAACCATTCTTTTACTAACAGGAAAAGGTTGGTAAGAACGTTAATGAATCAGTGTTAGTTAATGCAAAGTCATTAGAACTACTAGAAAAATAAATGAAAATACACACAAATGATGGTCAATTGTGTCACAAAAAGAAAGCAATAATAGCAAAGTGATGTTTAAATTGCTAAAAATAGAAGTGTGAACCCAGGATCTTATCTAATTGCATGATGAATTGTCTTACAATATAATTATTCAAGGATCTACTCCATTTTCTGTTGTCTTCAGATACAAGACTACTTATAACCAAGTAGTTTATAATACCCAAACAACTCAAAACAAGAGTTTTTAAGAATATTTTCTGCAATACCAATATCACAGAGTAAGTATCTAAGCACCTACGGGTTTACTCTGAAATAGTAATTTGAAAATGTAAACCCTCATATGTCCAAAAAATATTTCACATTCTTGATGAACAGGAATACAAACAGTAAAATAAAATTAAAACAAGCCTTTATTTATACTTAAATGTTCAACAATGCTAGAATACAAGAAAGAGAATGTGCAAGTAACAAAATTAAAGAACATACTGAGTACTTAGTCAATAATCATGTTACTTACTTATCATGTCTCTAAAATCTACAAGTTTATAAATTTTTCTATACCTAATATATTTTTCTTCTACTCATAAAACTTTATAACATCTATAGACATACATAGAAAATGTTTTTAAACTGAGACTTAAAATGCCATAATAAGTTAAGTCTATGTGACTACTAAGAATGAAAGTTTGAAGCAACCAAGATCCCTACATTGTGACAATTGATAGAAATACCTCCTTTACTAAGCCATCACACAATGCATACCTTAACCTTTTCCCTCAGAATTTAAAATTTCAGCATTTCACTAAATAAATAGAAAACTATTAAAAGAAAAATCCATTTCTCAAGCTAGAACTCACCCTGATCTACCCAAATATATATTCAAACTATTTTAAAAGAATAAACTAAATAGAAAAAAAGAATATTTATAAAGAAATCTACAGACCAATATAGTACTTATTTATCCAGGCTATATTAACATTTAATACACACACACACACACACTCTTAAGCTGACAGAGTATACAAAATAGTATTATAATCATCTTTGAAATTTAGCCATCAATATGTGCATTAAATTTATTTTTGAGTATAGGTCAATATACTTCTAATTAACAAATTATAATACTCACTTCCCTAAAACAGACTATAAATTTATCAATTAAATTTACATAATTACTCACCTAAGAACAGCTATTAAAGGTGCATATATTGAATCTCCATCATACACATACATATGATCCCAGCTACATTCTGTGGCAAAATGATTGAATCTTAATCTTAACACTGCATTTGGACTGAAAAATATTAAAATATTTTTAAATTAACAAATAATACACAAAACACAGTCAAGAAATTTTAGATAGAATATTTTATTAAAAACCTATTTACAGATCATTTTTCTATATCCTCAAATCACTAAAGTAAAAGATTAATAAACTGTCATATCTAATTTGTAAAAATGAGACTTAACTTTCAAAATCTGTTAATAGGCCATATGCAAGAATCACCATTTTCTAAAAATTTAGTCAACAGATTCTGTTTGGATTAAGGTAGAGATTACATAGCTTACACACATTACTGAAACCTTACTGAACTGCCTACTAAAGTGGGTGCATTTCATCATAGCCAACTGTATTTCTATAAAATTGATTTTAAAAATTCAATGTTCATAATGAATCAGACATAACTTTCCTAAGTTCATATATAAACACACCACAGTGTTACTCCACATCATGTACAATCACAAAAATGGGAAGTTATACTCCATCTATGTCAAAATACATTCTGCTTTATGGATAACTTAAAAAGAACAAGTTTAAAAGACACACATTAAAAAAAGTTTCAACACTCAAGAAGCAACTATTCTTGGGCTGGGGTTGTGGCTCAGCGGTACAGAGTTCGCCTAGCAAGTGAGGAGCCCCTGGGTTCGATCCTCAGCACCACATAAAAATCAAATAAGTACACAAAAGTATTGTGTCCAACTACAACTAAAAAGCAAATATTAAAAAAAAAAAAAGAAGTAACTATTCTCATTTCTATAGAACCCTTAGGTGGAGACACTAAGTTCTCCAAATCATAATTGAAAGGTCTCAATGCAATGCTATTTTTTAATGATTATTCAGTATTTTATTGAAATAAGCATACTGTAACTAATCCAATCCAGTAAGTTCTGATGGAACTAATTTATACCTCCTGTAGTGATTCCACCAGCTATTCAGAACATTTTGGGAGGGATCTCTTTCAAAACTACCTTCAGAAGCTTTTGTCTGCTACATGCAATATACTATTAACAAACAGAAACTAGAGATACACAGGAAAAATTAAGAACCCTAAATTACATAAAAAATCTTTTTTAAAAACTTGGTTTTCCAAATACCATACTTTTAAAAATCACAAATCCATATCAATTTACTTGTGATCTATTCACAATGCTTACATAGACAAATTCAATTTCAAGTCCTAATTAGGATATTAATTCTTTCTTCTATAAAATGTTCTTTTTTAAATACCCTTAAAAATAAAATGCTGAATAATATAAACCAATGGCATAAGTCACCATGGAATATTTTTAGACTTTCTATGGAGTTTTTAATTCCATAACAAGATGCTTTAAAAGCACCAAAAATGCCTATTTAATGCCATAGTAACTCAAAAATTATTTATATTTACATACACACACACACATATCTATTCTTTATATATATATATATATATATATTTATTTATTTATTTATTTTTCAGTTTTCAGTGGACACAACATCTATATTTTTTATTTTTATGTGGTGCTGAGGATCCAACCCAGTGCTCACACATGCCAGGCAAGCCCTTTACTGCTTGAGCCACATCCCCAGCCCCACACATATATCTATTCTAATATCACAAGTGAAGGGGTACTGCAATTTATAAAATATGATTTCTAAAAATTATAAATCCCATCAAAAACATTATGAAAATAATGCATAATGAAAATAATGTTAATAAGCAATTAAACTATAAATATAAAATTATACTTTTTAATAGAAATACTTTTTATACTATACTATTTAATGGCATTAAATAATCACTTTTATCTTTTTAGAATAAAATTAATTCAACTCAAATTGTATACTTACTAGCCTTCAATTAGCCATGTACATTTAGTTTTATACTTATAGTTAATTGGACCATCAGTTAAATATCCAGAAGGTTCTGTTAACCTAGAAAGGAAAAATTATGAAAATAATTACCTTAAAGTAACTTTAAGACATAATAAAGTAGTATGAGAAAGTTCAAAATATCATTAAGCCAAAGAAAAAGGACAGCTGTTTTCAAAATAGAAGATATATTTACAACCTAAGAAAACTTTCAAATTGCCATATTTCTGAGAGAATGTGAGAATTTACTTTAATTACTTAAATTAGGCATAAGAAAAATACAAGACAACAAAATAAGAAGCAATAAACAATAGGAACAAACTCACAAGATACTCTAATTATTGATATTATGAAATGCATGCATTAAAACAGATATACTTAGGGCAAGATCAGGTCATTCCACAGGGTAAAATTCCAGTGGAACAGATGGTAGAAGAACAAAACTGCAGACATATATAAATCATGGCATTGTAACCAGTTATAGAAACAAGGCCCATAATAGAATTGCATGGTTTCAATTTGCTTGTTATATATATATTTTCTCTCTTTCTCCTTGACTATTTTATTTTATATACAAGTTGCTGGAAGTTGACTTTATAATTTAATCTTTGGATAGATTAGTCAGTGTGACTATGACTGAAAATGAAAAAAAAAATTAATATAACCAATGATCAATACAATGACTTGGAGTCTATGTTTCCTCATTTTCTGGAAAGGTAAGAACTTTTTTCACTTTTAAGAAATGTGACTTCTTAAGTAGAAATAGTGTTGTTAGTTGTGGCTGGGGAATTTAAATATGTTCAGAAGGTTGCTTATGGAAGCTGAATCATCAAAGTGTACACTGTGCCAGTTATCCATCTGTTGCCTCTCACCTCCAAATTCATCCTATTTGCCTACTCTGCGAAAATAGATCTGGGCCCTTTAAATATCTTTTTCTTTGCCAGATGGCAAGAATTTAAGCTGGCATGCTTTGTCAGAAGAGTGCCCAGGAGAGACTGCAGGAGGAAAGGGTCTTTCTTACTGGTTCCAGTGTGCTCAAGCAGTTCCTATGGTTTCTCCAGCACCAGACTCTTACAGTACACATTGGTCAACAACACCCAGCTAAGTCTCCCAGAGCATTTCCTCTAAGGCAATTTTGTAGCAAAATGCCCACAGTGAGACACCTCCCCATGAACAGTTTTCCTCAACATTCTAAATAATGCCTTTATAAGTTCTACAGGGAAAATGATAAGCAAGTCTCACCAGTGCAGCCCTGAACTGACTTTTCTCCCATTCATTAAATCAGAGCCATGCCTTCCCAGCAAGATTGGGTCTCAAGCTGAGAGGAGGAGGGGTTCTTGGGTTTTCTATCTGGGCCATTAAAGCAGCAGTGGCTGTTCCTTGTATATATTATTTCCGCCTTCTTCAGAGTTCTCCATTTCTTACAAGCCATTTTCTCCTATCTCCATTCATTCTGTTAATTCTCATTTACATTAAACTTTTCCTGTTAAGATTATGATTATTTCCTAAATGAATCCAAACCAGTACCCTAATAATCAAAGATATGCAAAATAAAATCATAGTAACATAACATTTTGCACACAACAGAATGGCTAGAAATGAAAATAATGAAGATACCAAATACTGGCAAGGAGGTGGGGAAAAAAAATAATAAGAATAAATCCGTACAACTATTTTAGAAGATAATTTGGTATTATCTCACATAGTTCAAAATGGACACAACTCAGTGCAGTAGCTGATGTTGTTTGTGCTACACTCACTATATTCATATCCTCTAATACTACCTTACCATTCCTATACACTTCAGACTTACTTCTTAAATCCAGTACCTCTATCTTTGTTGAAGGGCTCTGAAGGCAGGGTTGTAAGTAACCTAGCTATACACTCAAGAGTATACCACAACACAGAGCTGATCTGCAAAGACTCAGGAGGTTTTCATTATTTCTTGGCTATAGACAATCAAAGAAATCTGTCAAAATACTAGCAAACCACTAGCTAAATGAGTGGAGACTTCAAAAACCACACTCAATAAAGAATACAGTCATTATGAAATATTTTAGAAAATTAACAACAAAAACAAACCCTGAGGATGGGGAAGAACTGTGATTTCTAGCTATCATATTATAAAGATTAAATGTCCCATTTATGGCAAAAAAAAATAGATAGATAGACAGACACACATACAACATGCAAAGAAATAATAAAGCATGGCTTGGTCAAAGGAGAAATAAATAAAACTCTCCCTGAGGAAACATAGACATGGGTAGGCAAATACTGTAAATCAATTGCCTTAAAGAACTATCAGAAATACCAAAATAATAATAATAATAAAGGAAACAAGGAAGGTAATGTCTTAACAAATACAGAACATTAAGAAAAATTTAGAAATTTCCTTTTACAACCTCAAAGTCATATATTACTTCCATATTAATAGAAAAGCAAGATAACAAAAGGGCAAATCCTGTTAAAAAAAAATGTGCTCTTTATGGCTCATCAACAAATCCTTGTCAGTTTCTAACTTAAGAGTTGTAACGAATTACCTTTAAAATCAAAATACTGATATAATTTAAATTGTGAAACCTTCCAAAATCAAGAGCTGAATCTAATGTTACAAATTATAAGTCTCAATTTAAAGTACAAACATATTTTCAGCCTATGTGATAAATAGTTTTGTGCCGCAGGGACTTAATTTTAAAGAAAATTTTAATTTGCTTCATGAACCTACCTTCCTAGCTATTTTTATTTCAATTTCTTTTAAAAAGAAGGAATAAAAGTTTAGTATATTCAAACAGCACCTTAATAAATAGTTAAGAAATATATAATTCTTTCTATAAGGAAATAAAGCTGGAAATTTAAAAGTAGGCAGCCCTGCTTTCCAAATATCACCCACAATTTAATCTACCACCATCCTAGCTGGGAATATACCTCCCAAACTGCAGATGAGGGAATCACCTCCTCTCTCTACTGCCACAAAAAAAAAAAAAAAAAAGTCCCCCAGCATCACAGTACTAAAGCAATCATGGTGCTTCTAATTTATCCTCTGCCCATGTTTCTAACCCTACAGTCTTTTTTCTATCACCCTACTTCCTCCAACTACCCAGTTCTGTCCTATGTTCCCAATACCTTGCCCTTAGTTCAAATTGAGAAGAAAAAAAAAAATCCTTCCTCCAAAGAAACATACACTCTGGGAGCTACAATAGCCCTTCTCTCTGCACTGTAAGAGGGAAGGAGCTGTTATGCCTCCCCACTGAATGTACACAACAGGAAAATCTGAAAACAACACACCCTGTTCATTCTCCCTACCTTCACCTCTCATCCCTAGCACTAACAATCCTACCAAGAGCCTACCATTCCCTTCATCTACCACCAAGAGATTTTTCTCTTTGCCAATTCAAATCTAAGTATGGAAGATTGCCACAATCAAGGAATAATCAAATTCAATCAGGGACAGTCTTTATGCATGGTCGTCATTGTAAGTCATCCTCAAATGGACATCTTTTTAAAATAGGTTTGCTAGTTTAAATACTATTTGCTGGTTTATTGATTCTTTTTCTTAACCTCCTTTGGCAAATAAAAGTTGTACATATTTATTGTACAAAGTAATGCTTCAATACATGTATACACTGTGAACTGAGTATATCAGACTAATTAAAATACCCATCACCTCACATACTCATCATTTGTATGTAATGAGAACAATTAAAATCCAGTCCTTTAGCAATTTTGAAATCTACACTAACTATAGTCACCGTGTTGTGCAATAGAACACCAGGACTTACTCCTCCAAACTGAAACCTACCACCTTTTGAACAACTTTTTCTCCTTCCTACCCAACCCAATCCCTCAGCTTCTGGTTACCACCAAGCTGCTCTCTACTTCCATGAATTCAATTTTTTAGATTCCATTTAAGTGATATTATGAGTTATTTGTCTTGCTGTGTCTACTTATTTTACTTTTCTTATAATATCCTTTAGATTCATCCATGGTATAACAAATAACATAATTCCATTCATCCTTTTTTAAGGCTCAGTAAGAGTTCTTCTGTTTATATATGCCACTTTTTTATTTGTTGATGGTCACTTAGGTTCTTCCCAATCTTGGCTATTAGAAATACTGCTGTAATGAACAGGGGGTGAAGACATCTCTTCAGAATACTGATTTCAATCTCTTTGAATGTATTCCCAAATATGGGAGTATTGGATCATATGATAATTTTATTTTCAATTCTTTGTGGAACCTCCCTATTATTTTCCAAAATGGCCAATTTACTAATTTATAATCCCACTAATAGTGTATAGGGGCATACTTTTCTCCACAACCTGGCCAACACTTGTTATCTTTCTTTTTTTTGACAACAGTCATTTTAAAAGGTATGGGGTGATATCTCGTTGTGGTTTTAGTTTGCATTTCCCTAATGATTAATTGTGAACAACTTTTTGAACAACTTTTTCTTTTTATCTGTTTTTTGGCTTTTTATGTCTTATTTTGAGAAATGTCTATTCAAGTTCTTTTCCCATTTTAATACAATTATTTGTTTTCTTCATTTTTTTTTTAGTTGTAGCCGGACATAATACCTTTATTTTATTTATTTATTTTTATGTGGTGCTGAGGATCAAACCCAGGGCCTCACATGTGCTAGGCAAGCGCTCTACCACTAATCCACAACCCCAACCCCTGTTTTCTTTATTATTTAGTGGAGTATTTTGTTTGTTTTTGTTGTTTTTTGTTTTGTTTTGTTTTGTTCTGTTTTGGGGGGGGATTTTTCTCCTACTGGAGATTGAACCCAGGAGCACTTTACCACTGAGCCATGTTCCCAGCCCTTTTTTATTTTTTCTTTTGAAACTCACGCTTACTTCAACTACCATGCAGTATCATCAAGATATGCCATGCTCTCACTTCAACTGACATGCAGTATCACCAAATATACCATAATTTTCTGAAGCTGGTCTCAAACTTGCAATCCTCCTGTCTCACCCTCCCGGGTCACCATGCACCACCACACCTGGATGTTTTCTTATTATTAAATAGTTTTAGTTCTTTAATCATTTTGGATATGAGCCCTT